GCACCTGGTTAGCCGAGATGCCTAGGGTTTAGGGTTTAGGGTTTAGGGTTTAGGGTTTAGGGTCTTTGAACCTTGCGGCTTCGGGGAGACGCAGCTGTTCCTTGAGATGTGTAAGTTGAAGAAGGGGCTGGCTGGTGCCAAGCCGCCCAAACGGCCGCCGGTGAGCAGCACATTGAGCCCGCCAGCCATCCCCCCCACGAAGATGTTGATCCTGTGGTACTGCTCTGCAGGAGGGCAAGAACGCAGTCGTTCATAATGGAGCCCAGTGTTGGTTCAAAAAGTAGTCTGAAAGCACTGACGCATCGTGTGTCGCCTGATGCTCTAACTGCACGTTTCTTCGAAGCTCTGCGTTAAAAAAAGCGATGTTGAAACACCCCTGGCGTCCAATTGACTTTCACATGATTCGTGAACATGGCGGCCATCCGCCTTCAACCCCTCAACCTCCACTTTTCAAGAACCCTACGGCTTTTTGCATGCAGGCGGCATGCTCAAAGGGCGTGTGCCTCCGGGCGACGGCAGGTGCATCAGCACGAAGAACACCTTGGGAGCTCGGCTTTAACATAAGCTTACGAGTATCAGGTTCAAGCTTCGGGGCAACACTCTGACCGGGCAAGGATGATCAAGCGTTAAGCCCCCAATAGAAGGAAACCTAACGAAGCAAGAGAAGCGATCTTTCAAACGAACTCCGATGGGTGTCCGGAGTGCAGGTGGGGTGGAGGCTCAGGGCAAGTCCGGGCGAAGGAGGTCAAGCACCTTCGAGAGGAGACTGTAACTTTTGTTACACTTCTGTATGTGTTTACCTATCCATCTCTCTATGTCGGAATCTACCTATCCATCCATCCATCCATCCATCCATCCATCCATCCATCTATCTGTGTGTCTTTCTTTCTGCAGGGCTTCGGGGTCAGCGACCCTCAGGCCATTGACCCGTCCAACCACCCATTGTTTTATTAAGTGGTTGGCATTGATCTATCTATCTCTCTTTATCTATCCATGCTTATCTATCTATCTATCTATCTATCTATCTATCTACTGTCTATCTATCTGTCTACCTAGATAACTCAGGTTCGGGCTGAAGCTGTGCCACTGCATGGACTTTTCCCCAAACCGCAAACAAAAAAGCCCACTCCGCCCAGAAGATGGGGCACGGATTCCAACACCATGGCGAACAGAAATGCCGCCGTGGCCGGCAACTGCCAATGTGCCATACCTGATGCAGTTGAGGGTTTAGGCTAGGGACCCCTTCCTGCCTTCCCGTTGCATGAACTCTTGTGCTCTTGTGCTCTCAACCCTAAACAGCCCCTCCAAGCCCGAAACATTAAGCCTTCCTTGGGGGTTTCGGATTGAAGGTGGAAGGTTTACGCTTTGGGATTTAGTTTTTTGGGGGGTTGGGGGGTGGGGAGGGTTGCGTGATCTCTTGGCCGCAGTTGGGGGTTTCACGGCTGCTACGCAGCTGTACATGAGGTGCTAAAGCAAAAAGCAATCCTAAACCCAGACTCTATGCCCACCGAGACAACTCGGGAAGAACCTTAACCCTAGAACCGTAGCACATGGGAGCCTAAACCTGGGCTGGACGTCTCTCGACTGTGGGCACTGCGCAATCCGAAAGCCCAGGGGAAGCCCTAAACCCTGAAGCAAACTGTGCACCAGGGTTTAGGGTTTAGGGTTTAGGGGAAACTCCCATACCCGGCTCTTCGGCAAGCAGCTCGCTTCGGCAATGTTATACCTTCGCTGCTTGGCGACGGCATGTGCAGTGCTTTTGTATTCTCTGTGCAGGGCTTTGGGTTGCAGGCGTAGTTCAGAGTTTGGGCAGCCCACAACCCTGAACCTCGAGCAGTTGACCCCGCCTGCCAGCCTCAACTCTTCAGCCTCTGTATAAGAAAGACCTTGAACTGTGAACCCTGCACGCATTCGTACCTACATCCTCAACCCCGACGAGAGCATCCTTTCGCCCTGATCTGACCCCTCTGAAGATTTAAGACCACATCTGTAACCCTCCAACGGATTCTTGCACCAGTCTTCGCACGAGTACTACGTCACTGCACTTATTATACTCTTAGCTAGGTGATATTCCTCCCAATGTACCACGAGTTGAACAAGTAATTACTTGCCTTGCACTGCTGGCAGCAGTAGTAGTACCATGTCAGAATGAGAAGTCGTCGTACGGGCTGGCAGGCTCCAACTAAGCGTAAAAAGCACAGACGAAAACAGCTTTTGAACCGGCGTCTCGCGCATCCGAGGCTTCAAGCTGGCTCCCCAACGACTCCACTCACTTGAGCGGCACAAACTGCGAGTTCTTTCCCATCCTTAGGTTCAGGGCTCAAGGGGTTTTCGGAGTGCAGTCCAGGGAAGCGCGACTCATATTTTTTGAGTTTCGCAACATTCACGGCGCATCTGAACCGAAAGCTCGCTGAACTAAGGGCGTATTGCAGAGCCAGGAGTCATACCTGCACGGCCGTGCTTGATGGGCTTGTAGGTGATCGAGAACTCGCCCAAGTAGTGGCCAATCATCTCGGGCTTGATCTCCACATTGATGTACTGCTTGCCGTTGTAGACACCAACCACGCTGCCAATCATCTCCGGAACGATGACCATGTTGCCTTCGCTGCACGGTCCCTGCTTACCTTCCCAGTAGGAAAACTCCAAGCGAAAACTGAATGCCAGGATCTCTGTCCTGGGAGTTCCGTGGCCCGGTTTGTTTTGGAGAGGGGGGACGTAGGCTTTGCGGTTTAGGGTTCGGCCGGTGAGGCTGTGTTTAGGATGTCACTCCGTAGGGCCGTAGGGTTCAGCAAGCCGCATTCGCCACCCCTCACCGAGCCCAGGGGCGGAGGTGCGTCTTCACGGCCTCGGGCTTCTCGCCATAGGCGGTCTCACGCTTCGCCTTTGGCGATCTACTTTGGCGATCGTAGGCCCCTCTCTTGCCTGGTACACTTGTCCACTTGGGTATCGAACTCTTGTTAGGTTTGGGGCTTTGGACTTAGTATGATTTAAGGTTCCGGCTCTGATTTGTTGATTTGGTGATATTTGAGGATCCATGTACGGCTCGCACAGATTCGGCGAGGCTCGTTTGAGGGTGTAGTGTAGGGCCCTACAGCCCGGATTCCAAAAGCTCTTTGCACTTCTGGATCGGAGGTCACGTCAGAACCGAAACACGACACGATGCTGCACTCCAAAGATGGGTCTACCCAGCTCTCTAGAGAACCGTACGCCTCAAACCCGAAAGCCTCCTTTTGCATCCCCTCACTGCCCTAAAGATTTTCACCGCCTCTCCTCTCCCCTCCCCCCTCTTCGCCCCTCCCCTCTTCCTCATATAAAGGAAACCTAAACCCTAAACCCTAAAGGAGCCTTTCGGAGCTTCTTGAGCACCGTGATGGGCTTGCGCTTGATGCCGCGGCTGAACTTGCGGCGCTGCCGGGCGCAGAAGAGCTCCATGAGGTCCTCCATGGCCGGGCTATTCAGAATTTAGGGTTTAGGGTTTAGGGTTTAGGGGTTTAGGGTTTTTTTGGGGGTTTAGGGTTTAGGGTTTAGGGTTTAGGGTTTAGGGGGTTGGGGTTTAGGGTTTAGGGGTTTAGGGTGTAGATCTCAGGTTCAGAGCTTTGGGTTGAGGGCTCCGAGTGGGGAAGTCACTTTCTGCCATCTGGCACGATGACACGGTAACTTCTTTGCCGGTCGCTGCGTACTTGCACTTGCAACACAGCAGGTACGACTGATGCCACATACGAGACGAATCAGCCTCACAATCAGGAAACTCATAGCACGAGCACTCCTCATATACTAAAGACCAAGGAAGAAAGCCTCCGTGCCATGCTTAGGCACGCGAAAAGACAACTCCGAACCGCAACACTCAGCTTCCCCTAGACCCGAGGGTGCGGATTTGTCAGGCTTCAGGTTCGGATGTACAGCTCGTGTAAAAGTTCCCATACCCTACACCCTTGCTCCTGAGGGACTCACGGTCCTGGTTGCTCATATCCAGAAGCTTGTCCAGGTCAATGCCGCGGTAGGAGTACCTGCGAAGCGCTGCGCTAAGCCCAAGCACAAGAAGCTTCACCGAAACCCCAGTGGAAACCAACAAACCCAACTTCAAGATCTAAGTCCAAACTTCCAAGCTTGAAACCCCGACACTTCGGTGCCACCCCCTAAGCCCAAAAGCTCCGAAGCCCATTCTCTCTCAACTCCAAACCTTACAGCCCCTGTCCTCTCGAAAGCCGACTGGCCAACAAAACGAGTCCATCTCCTAAATGCTGGACCCTCGCAGCATCCTCGAGGCCTACAGAACAACTCCATCTGACTGTTCCTGCTGTCTCTCTCTGTGAAGGGCGTTCCAGGCTCGCCGGGCCAAAGGCCCACCCCTGTTTAGCGGATCTTTGGCGGGAACCCCACTCCCTGAATCACGAACCCGAAAACCCTACACTGCAGGTCGAAGAAACTGCATCTGCCCAGTGCCAACTGAGCACCAAAGAAAGGTAAAGAAAGCAAAAGCCGCCAGACCATGAAGCCTGAACCCGTACAGCCCTAAGCCCTCAACCACCCTAAACCCAAAACCGGCCCAAAACCCTGAACCCTACACCCGAGTCTTGAGGTTGCGCACTTCTTGAAGGTGCGCTTCTTGGGTGCGTCTTCTTCGGCCATGGCTCTCCTCTATCGCAGGGCTCAGCGGCTTCTGAGACATTAGCCCATACACTATCACAACCCAAGAAGACCCCCTTGTCCCTATATGGGGGTTTCCGAAAATAGGGGACCCTAATATAGTACCCCAAATAGTAGGATCCTTATTATATGGACCCCCAAATAAGGTACCCTCATTTTCGGAAACTCCCATATCCTACACGCCTGCGTGCGAGTGCGTGAATCGAAACCCTTGTAGAGCACACCTTTGTCACCAACATGCCTTGAAGATCCCCTCCACAAAGCCTACGCCCTGAACCCTATACCCTGGTGGCCCCAACGCATTAAAAACCCCGAACCCTCCTCATACCCCAGAACCCACATACCCTAAACCCGGCAAACGCACCAAGACCCTAAACCACAAACCCTGAGATGAAGATCCACCCAACCTTAGAAGGTTGGGGTTTTCGGATCTCGTCTTTGACGTTCGACAACAATTCAGCCCTCAGATCCTAAACCCCTCAAAAACCCGTATACCTACGACCCTAAGATGACACCTAGATCTTAGCCGGCTTAGAGCATTAGGAGACATGTGCGGTAACCAGGGCTTCTGGATGCTTTGTTGCTCTTCGCTGCGTCCACAAAGCCTTGCAAGCCCTGAACCTCAAAGCCAAATAATCCACAATCCCTCAGACACTAAACGGCCCTAAACCCCGAGACTTCAACCCCAAAGACTGCGTGCAACACCGGGTCCATTGTGGTGTTAACGATTTTCGGCTCGTGGTTTAGTCTGGTTTCGGGCTGAGGATCTATTCAAGCCCGAGGCCTGGAAGTTAGACTACGCAATCTTGCACCATGCAATGTCATGGAGAGTTTAGGGTTTAGTAGCAGCTTCCAAAGCAGGGCCGTCCCAGAACCGATGGACGGTCTTGGACGGTCTCACTTCTATCCAAATTGCCACTCGTTCAGTGTCTGACACCTCTCGCCGACAACCGGCAATCACCGAAACTATCGGATCCCAAAACCCCCAGAGCATTGTGGATCTTTGAGCCCAAGCTGCCTGTCTTCTTGCCGGCACACACCCAAAGACCTGTTCCCTTCCGCTTGGGCCAGAAATCGGCAGACGTAGAATTCACAAACCTCGAAGCCAAAGTCTAAACAGATAAGAAAAGGTGTGGCTGTGTATATATAAATGTATATGTACAAATATGTACATATGGGAAAGTATGTGTATGTATGTATGCATGTATGTACGTGCCTTTGTAGGCATGTGTGTATGCTTGCTTGGTTGCTTGCTGGCTTGCTTGCTTGTATGTATGTATGCGTGTCCTTGAAGGATACGTTTCGATTAATTAGTTAGCTGGGTAGTAAGTTAGTTAGCTAGCTAGCTAGTTAGTTGGTTAGTTAGAGTTAGTTACTTAGTGTTAGTTAGTGTTAGTTAGTGTTAGCTAGTGCTAGTTAGTGCTAGTTGTGTTAGTTAGTGTTATGTAGTGTTAGTTTGTGTTAGTTAGCTAGATGGTTAGTTAGTTAGTTAGTTAGATAGTTAGTTAGTTAGTTAGTTAGTTAGTTGGTTGGTTGGTTGGTTGGTTGGTTGGTTGGTTGGTTGGTTGGTTGGTTGGTTGGTTGGTTGGTTGGTTGGTTGGTTGGTTAGGTAGTTAATCAATTAGTTAGATAGTTGGTTGGTTGGGTAGTTAGT